TTGCATAATATATTTATTTCGACGTTGAATTTATTAAAAGCACGAAGTTATAAAAAATATGATAGGTCTTGAATGGTCGGTATAAATACGTGGCGCATAAAGTGTGTAAGTGGACGTCGATATCGATTCAGTGTCGGTAGTTGCATAACGCACGAAGGCGAAAGATAACGAGTACATAAATCTTTCGCCGTAAGAAATTGTGTCGCGCACCGAGTCGGAACACGTGTATGCGCGATACGAAAATATTCGAGGCAAAAATCGGGGAAAAAAGCGAATTACGCTTTTTACACGTCACGAATGGAAAATCGCGTGCGTTATCGGCGCACGAGAAAGCGTGCTCTCGCGGATGCGAGCGCGCGCACACGCGCGACTGTGTTCAGTTGTGTGTGCGTAAACGTTACACAAGATTAAACCGAGTGTGCAAGCGACACGTGGAACGTTAGACTAGAAATATTCGTATACCGTTTGCTGGCATTCGAACGGAACTATCCCGGACACTGTTCCCAGATGCGAAAGACGGTTTCGTGTCCGCTTGACAAATTCATTCTTACGACCCAAATATTCAGCTAATAAACTTTCTGCGAACCGATTAAATTAGCAGAAGAGACAGAAAATTTTTTTAACTGATTGTATGAATCTTAGATAAACAATTAGCACCATTTAACTACTATTGAACATATTTCATTATTCTACTACTTTGTTATTGCACTTTCTAGTGGTGCAATGTTTTATTACAGCAAAACATTAAAACAACAGATGTAACGAAATAATAAAATAGTAAAATAAAATGTTCACAAAAATATCTATCTTTCAAAAAATACATACAAACACTCTCCCCCTAACTCCAATCTAAGTCACCAGGACATTAAAATAATAAGACACTCCATTGTTCCAATTTAATTTCTGAAGCCTCAGAAATCACGTCACCTAATCATACACCCACAATCATCTATTATAGAAAACTAGAACAAGAAGTCAGCGTATTCATACACCCCTCCTAAAAATAGCTATTATCTGTTGTTAAAAAAATCCACATCACATACACCGATGCAATATTTTATAAGTAATCGAAGCAGCCTAATTCCTCAAGGTAAGAATAAATCATTGAAGCTATTTAAAACGTTCTAACTTTCATAGAAGATTCCTGCACGAAGTCGCTTGCAAGCATAGAAGATACATCATACATGGCGTCCCACGCACATATACCCACACACACAGCCACGCGTACATAATCGTGCTCTGCGTGCCAGTGCGTATACCACGTGCCGACATGGTCGAGCAGTGTGCATCACCTATACGGTTCGAGAAGACCGTGAAGAAGACTGTTAGATCTAACTGTAACCCAGGCCTACTTTCGGCTTCCTTTGGGCCTTCAAACGATTACGTACATACATACATATATTCCCCGGTTGCGTATGGTGGTAGGATCGTGCCAGCGTACGCACATCCACACACGTACTACGTTCACGAAAGCGCACGTTGCTCAACCATGATTCTCTTTGGAGCTATGCGTTACCCGGTCTCCCTCTATTTCCTACCAAACTCCGTCGTCCTTGAACCCTTCCCACTTACCGACCTTCCTTTTACGTTCTCACCCTCTAACGTTCACGAAAAGAAAGACCACTCTCCACCGGCGACAAAGCATCGTGTTACTCTCCCTGTTTCTCGCCCATCGGTTGCTTCTCGTCGACTTTCGCTCTTCCGAAATGAACCACGGCCTTCGGTGTTTCGGCAGAGCTGGGAAACGAAAGGCTAGGAAACTTTTCCTTTCCCTTCGCCAAACAAATTGTTCCAACGATGGATTTCGTGAAATCAGGACACGCGTGATAGACGTGTGCGTGTGTGTGTGTCTCGCCTTGGAGAAAGCGTTAGAAGGAGGATCGTGTTGGCGAGGAAACGGTGCTCTCGAGGTTAAAAGTGGGAGAGCAACTTTTTGGGAAGGCTCGTTGCACGCGCGAACCGCCAAATTCGTATCACGTCCGTAGAAACATAAGAGAGTAGCGTTTCGGAAGTGTCCTCTTCTGATGCTCCTTCTCGGGGGCCACCGAGGGTTATCGCGAATCGCGTGGTGGACTTTAGATATCTAACGTCGTGACACGAAGGCCATCGACGAGTTGCATGCCACGAATAAAATACTCTTTGTCCCATAGCAGGATATAAAACCTGCAAGGTCTATGACCATTGAAACTCATCGAATTAAATGAATCAACTAGTTATTAAACGATAGGCGAAGGTGCAGTACTTGACGTGCACTTAACTGGCGTTCACTCATTATCACTAAACGATAACCAATTTCTCCGTTCCAAAATCTCTCCCCAGATTGAACTTTCTAATTTTAAAATCTCTAAACCTAAACATTTATGAATTTGATCTATTAAAAACTTTGTTGAACCACCTGAACAGAAAACCTGTTAAATGTTCGAGTAGAATCGATACTTTAATTATTTATAACACGTATTCGATAGATGAAAGACCAGGAAACTATTCATCAGGTTCGATCGATGCAGTGAAGCTTTCGAGAGTGTTAGAGAGAAAAAAAGCAGCTCGATGGCACGTGGTCGATCAGCTAACCAATTAAGCGAGCAGCTTTACGGTCTTCGCAAGCGATAGTGATTAATCGGTCGATCCAGTCGTTCACAACTTTCTCTACAGTGCACTTAACGGGACGCCTGTTAGCCGTCTCTAAATCGAACTGACACGAATATCTGACGAGACAGCATTCATCGATTCATAACGGTACTGCAACATAGCTGCAGTGAAAGATGCCAGTGACGTGAGATCACAAAAAATGATGGCTTACTTTGCTATAAGCAATAACAAAATTCAAGTAGCGTCTTTTCACTCGTAACTCGTAACTCGCAAACTCAGAGATTAGAAACAAGTTTGTTTCTTTAGAAAAAATTAGATTCTTCTGCAATTTTTTTTATTAAAATCTGTTGATTTTTAGCTGGTGGCTCATTCGAAGGAAGAAGAGAATGCTATCAATTTGCGTTAGAATGCAATAATATTAATAAATTATCCACCGATCGTAAAGTAAGAAAACAGAAGACTTCAAAATTATGCCTCGAAAGTTGCACATTCTTGTTTATTCAGTGTGACTGATAACGGAACAGCTATCTGGTCCCGCATGTTGCGGTATAGTAGCGTTATCAGCTTTGCTGATAAATCACACAAAATTTTATTAACGTCGTAATCGGTAGAGTCTCGACAATTTTCGCTTGCCGAGTGAATCGTTATATTACTTGTTGCACATTGTAAACATTTTTGAAGATTTCTTTCGGGACATTTGATGCATCTTCATTCAATGTTTGGGTGCCAGATTAATATATCGTCAGTGCACATTTCTACATTCCTACATTTACATATTTATATGCTGCTGAATTTCTAAATGACTAAATGTTTAGAATTTTGGATGTCTAAATTATTATTGTTGATCGGCTTACCTAAACCAAAGACGTCTGAACTGAACGAGCTTACAAAAATGTGATGGCACTAAAAATATCCACACTTAAAATATCTTTTTGAAATATAGCAAAAAGTACATGGATCATTATATTACATTACACCCAAAAATTGAGCCTATCACCAAAGGGGTTTCACAAAGATATTACAAATTCTGATATTAACAAAATTAAAGAACAGTACACTTTGACCTTTTTATTCATTCTCGCATACTCATCAATTCGACGAAAAAATAATCGAACAAAATTTGTTCAAGATCACCATCATTAAGTGACAAGTTACAATCAGCTTCAAAAATAAAAAACACATCAACGACAAGAGCTAAACTTAATTACCAATGTACTTGATAAACGTTCACCTAAAGATCCACCACCACAAACACGAATCCCAAATAGCACATGTTATTCCCTGCTCCAAGTCTATCCATAATGAATGAAGATGCACACATCGAACTATTTCTGGACCGGAAGCGGTGCACAGTCACGGTCTGCATAAACGGCACGAGCCGCGATAAATACAAAGTCGACCGATCACGATACAACCGTGGCATTTATCTGTCAGATAAAAACACCTCACTGTCTCTTTCTCTCGTCGAAATAAAAGAAACTCTTCCGCGAGATCATCCTCTCGACGAGGACGATGCGATGCAACCGCGAGCGCATTGCATCGCGGCTCGCCGCGGACTGCGGTTTCGCGACGACGAATCCGTAAGAATGTTGCACATTCGTCGGGGGAAACGGCGCATCGGTATAGGTACTACGTATGCACGTACGTGGCCACACGCGTGTGCAACGTGTAGGAACGTTTCTATAAAGGCGATGTGCAAAGCAGCCGAGATTCGCATGCACACATCGACTGACTCTGCGCGAGTGGAAGCTCGGCCCACGCGATTGGTCGAAACGGGGGTAGGGACGGGCCAATCAACGGCCGCTGCACTTGGCCTGCAGTCGCACACGTGCAACCTTTACAAAGCGGCGGCGTGCAACTGCATCGGTAGCTCGACAGGTGAGCGTTTCGCGCGCAAGGAGTGATGGCGCCTCTTTGGTCAGACATGGAGGCGATGCTTCCGGTCACGTGAATGGCCCCTTTTTGACCAACCCGATTTACGATAACATTTCTCTTTATTAGAACTCGGAAGGGTTAAGTTATTCGAAACTTTTTAATTATCGGCTAGGTCCATCGAATTGTTAGAGAAAGTCTAAATAGTTACTGTCCAAATGTAAGGTACATTTATATTATGTAGATGTACATTGTTGAAGTTTTATACATTCCTACGCTCATACATTATATGTGTACGTATAATACATTCTTACATTCGTACATTATGTACGTACGTACATACTTGAATTTGGGATTTGAGAGTTTAAATGTTTGAAAATAGAAGAATTTAGTAATTTGTGAATACAGAAATTTGAAAATCAAGAAGCTTGAGAATCTGCAAATAGAAAATGGCAAACTCCAGTATGCAATAAAATAAAGAATATTCGGATCGATAGACCAGTTGCTACTTTAATTTAGATACTGAAAAAGGAACTTACCCTCGCAGAATAGGGTGACATCGGTAAGACTCTCGCTTTTGAACAAATTCGAGAACGCTGTCGCCAAGTTGCTACCGAAGCTATTCCACTTGAGACAGAACTGGTGCTGATTAGAGTCCATGATGCCACCCTTAGGCCCAACCCCGTGACCTTCGTCACCCCTGTCTCTGCCACCTTCGTGTAGGTATTTTCCTTCTTGATCGCGCTCGTGCCCAACAGTTCGTCCAACTGTGCAAAAAATTAATCTTTCTTTACTTTTTACTTACCAATTACTCGATTCATGGGTTCCCTGCTATATTTACTGTTTGCAGTATGTACACGCTACGCTTTTTGTACTGCGATTAGGCTATATTTGTTAGGTTTTTTGTAGGCTATATTTTTTGTCGTTATTTGATGTCTTATTACTTTATTATCGTATTGTTCTACTATTCTGTTACTACTATTCTCTGCTATTATTCTATCTCATTACACTTCATTCTATGATGCAACTACTCTGCGATACTGCCATCTTACTATCTCATAACTTTTCCACTACTCTTAGCTAGAGAAATTGTCAGACATACTTTCATTTTTAACAAACTGCCTGCAAATTAGATGCACTCTCCCATAACGAGAGGATTAACCTTTAGAGAACCTATATTGTCTGAACTTTTTTACTTAAAATTTATGCATATATAGTGTGTCCAATACAAATGAGAATAGTGAAGTGTCTCTGAAAGTGTATTTTAAGATATTTTCTCATCTAAACCGAACGCATTGTATACAACCTACTATGTTTTACAAGAACCCTCGTGCGAGCATTGCAGTGCTGATTGCTCAGAATAAAAGAGACACGCCTCGATTTACACATATTTTTGAGCCACCTAATGGTCGATGTGATTATATTTACTAAGTGTGCGTATGTGTTACCCCTTGGCATCCCGTGTGACTTTTTGTAAGACACACAATACGCATTCCGCTAAGTTTCTTAGTTACTTTCTGATCACTATAATGACCACGTCGGTCCTTTAAAGGTTAAGACTCGATGCACGCAAACGACTTTTCTCGTTATGCGTTTCCTTCTGATTTCTCGGTTGGAAGGAATGGAGATGAACGTGTGACCGTAGCTAAATAGCACAGGAATCTACTTGCATACGAGAATCATAGTTCTGAAGCAAGTACAAGAATCGTGGTTCAGTAAGTAACTTATAATACAGTTCGATTTAAAATGTTACATTTATATGACAAAGAATGAAACTAGATGCTAGAGCGAATTTGTAAAACAATTTAAAAATCGTATACTACTTTGAAACACAATTTTATGTAATAAAGTAATCAACATCTAATTATCGAACTTCTCACTGTCTTCTAAACTTGTACATTCCATTAGTCTAACAAACTTGAGCTTTATTTAGCAAAAAAATGAATGAATTATCGTCTCAATCTGGTCATTCGTTTGGAAGTATTACTCATCTCTAATAAATTTGTCAATGTTAGCTAACAGTGTATTTTTCGTTAACGAAGCTGGACAGACCTAATTGACTTCTTTACCATAAACATCGATTTCCCCGCATGGAAGAACATTTATGACACTATCAAAAGTGTATACTGTTAAATGCAAGTATCTAGTACATATTGCAGGTAATTGCCAAGTATCTATATTATTAAAGTCAAGTACACGGAACACTGACACATACAAGTATCTAATGTATATTGCTAGACACAAGCATCTAACATCTCGGAAACGTTTTAATCAACCAACTTCGAGTTCGTCCAAAACCTAACGCGAACGCGGTTTGAAGATCGAGTACAAACGATCGCGACAAAATCTATCGGCTAACCGCGTGTGGAAAGTTCAGCCGGATTTCCGCGGTACGCGATAAAATCCCGAACGGAACGTACCGATGTGTAGGAGCGTATTACTGGAATCAGTCCGAAGAGCAGCGATGCATCGGTGACGAAACGTGTAAGTTAACACGAACAACGGATTCCTGGGACACTATACAGGCTCGGTTTCCCGCCCGATCACTTGCGAATCCTCGAGTTCGAACTCACTGAACAGAGTACTCTCCGCACCGGTGTCGCGTACACGTGTTCACGCGGCACATGATCCGCGAAAGTGTTCTATGCTCGCACTCCGTCTCGAGGACTTTATCCGAACACTGGTGCACACGGTGTCGAGCGTACGTTTTACCCGTCCGAAATCGAGTGAGCGACTTGCATCGCCGCGACGAGTAAAGAATCACGCGTAACTGTCCGTCGTCGGTGACACGCGCGTACACAGCACACGGGTCCGCGTCGAACTCGCGCGCACTCTCCGTCCCCGTTCCGTTCGAAACAGCCGATGAATCGAAGAGATAAAGGTCGACGGTGTCTTTTCACGCGCGCGGGTGGATCGTCAAGTGTCCGGTGTCGGGAGAGAGAAGGACGATTAAAGACGTCGCGCGGTGCTGTGGCCGTGTCGCGGTGGAAAGAACGTGAATATGGGTCATCGGTGCCGATGCAAATGCGGTTGAACGAAATAGTGTGAGTTCGGTGGTTTCGTGGGGCCGCGCCGCGCCGGTGGCGGTAGCGCGATGGAAGAAGAGGGAAGGTCGTGTAGGTGGGAGGAGGGGAACGCTCGCTCGAGGAGAACAGCAAAAGGAGGGGGAGTAAGATTCGACTTTTTCGGAGGAGGGTGGGGCTAGATTGCTTAAGGCTAGAACTTTAGTTCGCGTGCTCCTCTTGGCCCCCTCTCTTATCACGTGTGCTCTTTAAGCTACTCTCTGAGTTTCTTTCTCTTTCTCTGCTCCGCTTCAAGCTTCTTCCTCGCTCTTTCTCTTTTACCCTCTTTTCCGTTCTGTCTTTGTTGTCACGCTGCTTCGTGTATCCCCTCTAACGTTTCTAAGGTATCGCGGGTCCCCGCCACTTTCTAATCTAACACGTGCCAGGGCCGAAACGAGGAGACAAGGCGCCACTCGCCGATCTGGATGGGGTCCTTGTTGCACGCTGCTTGTCGTCATCGCGGATCACGAGGTTACGTCACTGCCGCACGAAATCTTACCGCCTCGTGCAGCCGCGATCGTGGATGCATCTATACGCCTTTCGTTTCGTTTCGTTTCGTTGTTAATAACTATTTCATCTTTCGATCGATATTCTGTCCCGTTTTTGTTAACACTAGATTTACGGAACCCGTCAAAATGACGGATAATAGGTCTATTTTAGATGACAGAATTTGTTAAGAAATTTTTGCAAAAATATCAACTTTCATCAACTTTTAGCAAAAGAATCAATGTCTTAGGCAGTTCACATATCATCTGCAATTTATTTATTTTTCTACTTTAGGAAAATTTAAATAAAAGTGACCATCGAACGTCCGTAAATCTAGTGTTAAGTACTCTTGAGTGCACTGTAGTCTTTTAAAGAAAGGAATTAGGACATGCTCTAATTCATAGATTTCTTCATTCCACGTCCCTATAATCCGAACTATACCAACATCCCTAAATTACTGTGTCCTTAGACTGCTTGATCTTTAAATCCCTAGATCCCAAAATTCTTACGTCCTTAAGGTACTACATCCTTACCTAGACTCCTAAATCTCCATATATCTAACCTTACCTATATCTCCAAATAGGTATTATATGTACTCCACATTCTAAGTCCTCAAATATATAAACTATAAAATCTCTATATTCCCATATCCTTAAGTCCTCAAACCCCCAAGTTTGCAAATAACTATGTCCCCAAATTCTTAACACGTCTCCAAATTCTCAAGTGCAACTGGTTTGCTCGGACCGTTGCTCAACATATGTCTAGAGGCTAAATCTAGATTAATCATTCCAATAAGCCATACTGAAAATTCCACGAAAGAATTCATTAACTAGCTTGCCAATACCAATCGATACCCTGTCATTTCCGACCAAATTCGCAAAACAAAAACAAATATCTATGCGAAGAATGCATCGAGCGAGCTCGTGCATGCGTGTTTTCGAGTACACGTGCGTCACAGATTACGTAACGTGCATAATCAATCCCGATTGTTAGAACATCGTTAAACAATGTCAAAGTTCTAAACGAGCGTGAGCAAATGAAATTGCAGAATGTCCTGCATAATAAACACGCGAGCATAATACCGGTTGGACGCGCAAAGACTATACGGGTATGCGTTCAAGTCGAGGTCACGGAGCCGAATTTACGAGCTGCCGAGTGAACCGGGACGAAATGATCGGCTCGCGTCATTCTTCGTTCTGACAATAGCCCTTCCAATGTTTGGAGCAAGCTGCACGTAAATCTGCTGCAAATTGTCGTCAACCGAAAAGTTTCCATCGCCGGACGCGTCGCGTTACATCGTCGTTCGATCACGTTCGACGATGGTCATTTACGCGATTCCGCTGTTAACGTTGCAGCGATGCATCGCTTGACTCAACAATATCTCGAGAAAGTTACACGCGATTGCATAGTCAGCACGTTCGAAGAATCTAGAAAGCGACGCTCGGCTTTACCAAGAAACTTTTAAGTAGGATTACGGCTGGAGAGATCTAGAGGTATTTGGGGATATACAGGTATTGGGAGAAAAAGGATATGAGTAGAGAGTTAGGGATATTAGAAGATTTAGAAAGAATAGAGATATGGAGGTATAGGAACATTTGGATATCTGGGAAAATATGTATGTGAGGATATAGAAATCTACATGTGATCAGATATCTGGAGAAACTGGACATATAGGTGTCTAGGAATTTTTCGAAATCAGAATATGGAGGTCTACGGATTTTTGATACCTGAGTAAATAGGGATATAAGGACAGAGAGACATTTGAGAATAAAAACAGGTACATAAGGATCTAGTCTAGGATATTTGAATATCTAACAAAACGCACATAAATGAATATCTGAAGATAGTAATATAAAGAAATTGAAATATAAAGAGCCTAAAGTCAAACATATATTTCTACGTACATTTGACTTTTATAGTACAGATACTCGTGTAACCAAAGCATAAATCTGCCAAACCATTACACTACGTTCCGTTAAATAAAACTGTATCCACTTTGACACGTGCACGTGAACGATACTAATTCTACATCTCAACGACAAAGGACATCATAAAAGACACCAAAGACTCTAATCTAATATCATCTATCAAAACACCAAAGGATGGAAGATAATTTATGGACATCACGCCCTAAAAATGACACCAACATAGAACATCGATGGGTACGTCCCTGATCTGCCAAAATTTAGTGTGCACTCCCTGCCTCGGCATTGCGTGCG